CCAGATGGCAGAGTAAAGGGCCATAGACAACAATGGACAAGGGAGCTGTCCATATTCTGGGTCTCAGACATATGGGCCAAATAAAAGATTCTTCTTACAATCAGGGTGAGGACAGACCTGTTCAGCCAGATTCCATTCATGAATGCACTGCTCTCTCTTCATCATCTCATTTTTAATTTTTATTCCAATTTTCCTGTCATTGTCCCATTGTGCATGTAGTGTCCATAACTGGTGGAGGGAATTTGACATCCCTCAAAAAGCTTGGACTTTTAACTAAAGATAATATTTTATGGGATTCTGGGTTCACAACCTTCAGAAGAATCATTTGCTGGAGTCCAAGTGGGTAGGCTATGAAGTTTGTCCCTCTTGCTCTACTTGTTACTTCTCAAGTTTGTGCCTCTTCCTCTACTTGTTCCTGTGTATAGAAGAGGTTTCCTAGCTCACAACTACATCATTCAATTCTTCCTCTTGCATCTAGTCGGGAGTATATAGAATGAGTTCATGTCTATGAAACATGAATGAAAAGGTCACATGTGACACTTCTGACCCATAGCTATCAAGAGCAAGAGTGCTTTATACATACTGTATATACTCATGTATAAGCTGAGTTTTTCCAGCACATTTTTAATGTGGTTTTTGTGGTAAAATTAGGTGCCTCGGCTGATATCCGGGTCAGCTTATACTCGAGTACATACGGTATTCTATTTTCTCATCTGGTAACTAGAGGCAGATGATGATTAGGAGTTAGGAGGTAACAGAATCACCAGACGAAAGCTCCTTCCCCTTCGGTAGCAGAATCAATGGATGAAAGCTCCCTCGGCTCCTTCCCTGACCGCCACCAAGTTATCACATGAAAGAAAGTCACTCACTGACCATGCACACCTGTCTTACACTGTCACGTGGGCAAGACATATGGTAAACGTCACTGTGTTGTCATTGGAAACAGGGACTTATTCGTTTCTTAATGACTAGAAGAGCTGTCATTACTCTTCCAAATATAATACTGATCTCAACAAAGTTCTCTTCACTTCTCTGGGCTAGAGTATACTTATGAAAGTTAATAGTTGATTAATATTTAATGAGGTTTCTTTGCAATTCTACACCGGTCACGCTCTGTTTAGTTACGATCATATATTACCAAACATGAGCTCTTATGTTTGCCTGCTTTCTAAATTTGCAACTAACTTCATGAAACTCACATGCAATTTCTGGATTTTTTCACCCAAGCATGGTCAGAATTGTGAACCACCAAAAGATTTTGACTTACCTGTGTGGTAGGGCACTGTAGGTTTATCATCACGGAGGGAGTGGTACATTTGAGCAGATTAAAGTAAAACAAAATGGACTTGTTCCTGTTAAGAAAGAAAACAAGACAAAATAATCTTTCTGGTGATCATGGAAATGTTCTCTCCAATCTCAGAAGTCTAAGAATTTTAAAATAATTTGGCCTTTAAAATTGCCTTCATTTTTCATGAGTTATATTGCCCAGTTCTAGTTTGGGTGGCCAAATACTTAAATAATAGTAATGGTAAAAATTTTGAAATAATCACATTTTTCATCAACAGAGTATATGCCAAATAAAGGATTGTACATTCAGAAAGTAGAAAAGTACATGTTCATTAAAAACGGTGTTGAAGAATCCACTTAATGCTCAGAGAATTCAGAAAGTAAATTTAGGTAGCCAGTTAATAAACAGTAATAAAGCATAAAAAAAACATGGCTGTATTCAGAAGCATACATAACTGAAGCATATCTGAATGGTTACTTTGCACTTTGTGGATTTTTTTGTGGTTTGTGAGTTTTAGAAAATACATATGTATTATTACTTTGGTATTCTGTGTAAACATTATTAAATTGAATGATATTTTCTTTGAGTGCAAAATCATGGTCAGTGGCACAGTAATGGAGCAAACTGGTATTCATCATAATCAATATTGAATGAAGCATTAATCTGTCAGTCGGCAAGCCCCTGATCGCTTTTGAATGTGTTTGTTCATGGGTGAAATAGGGATAATTCTGGCCCTACCTTCTTCACATTCATATTGGGAGAACAAAAGATAATGTATGCTTGAATCAACTGATGACCCAATGTTAGCATGCACACAATAAAGCGCTTATGCAGCCTTTGCTAACAATTCTGATTCCTGGGTTCTTCTCAGCCTTCTAGAATCTGAGTCCTTGGAGATAGGACTTGGAAATAGCATTTTTTACTAAATTTCCAGGGAGATACAAATATGAGCTGTATCTAAATCACACCTACCAAAACACAACTCTAAACATTAAAGAAGAACATTTTTCATCACCTTCTTAGTCTCAATTAATTAATGTGGCCATAGCATAAAACATATAGCAGACTCTTCAATAATCTTTCCCCTACTGATTTATAACCAAAGTAGAATCTAGATTGAAGAATGAAAAGAGCCTCTCATAATAGAGGGCTGAGGAAGATCTTTCTATCAACCACTACCCATGTCCTGCCCCTTTTCATAGGAATAGAAGATGGGAAAGGGAGGCTGATTGAAGACAGTCCAGTTGTCAAGATGCAGGGGTCACAGGTAAAGGATTTTCCCTCCTCTTCTCATTGGTGAGAGGAGCCTTGGTGGTTTAGGTGCTACGTGCTGGGCTGCTAATCCTGAGGTCAGCTGTTTGAACTCATGAGCCGCCCCACATGAGACATTGAAACTTCCCACTCCCGTAAAGATTTACGGACTTGGAATCCCACAGGGGCCAATCTGATAAGGTCTCTATGAGTTGGCATCGACTTGATGACAGTAAGTTTTTGTTTAATTTTCTTTACTTAAAGTATAGTGAGTTCAGTAAGTCTCACTGGTGAAAGAGCACACTGTCTCTTCCCCATTTGAAGTTGGAGAGGGCTCTGAGAGAGTTCCCGCACACACCTGAAGGTGCCTTTAAGAAGGAGAAACCAGCATCTCATTTTCCAGTTGGTCACCTCTTTTGTGACTGAGTTGCTAGTGTTCCTTTGGAGAGAGGGTAGGATTGAAGCAGACTGTCAATAGTAGGATGTGCAGCAACTACATGGGATTTAGTCTCTTTGGTGATCCCTCATCTGACAAGATACTGTAGGAGCATTCCAAAACAGATGGTGGTTGGAGAGAGCAAGCCAAAGCTGATCTCTTGCATCAAAAACTATTTAATGTGTACTCTTCCCAAGTTCCCCCAAAGAATTTCTGAGCATACCCCATGAGCAAGACAGCCTTTCCATAGCTACTACAAAGAGGCTATTGATTACCGTAGGCAGTCAGCTAAGTCTTAGAAACCATCATTTGACAAGGATAGCGGCCAGGAAACAAAAGATATGTATCCCGTTCCTTTTTCCTCCATCCCTCACCATACAATGAAAGGAACAGAACCAGAGAGAGAAGGTCGAGAAGGGAAATAGCAGACCGGATGCACTCCATACTGTAAGTCCTTTGCCTGAGTCAACCCTGAGCTGGGAAATTAGAGAACATTAAATTGAAGTAGACAATTTTTAATAATGTAAAATGTCTGCGAATCTGTGGGATTTGCCTGAGATGCCAAAAGGAGAATAAAGGCATATTTGGGCGAGCATTGTTAAGGCAATGGCTGGACACAAAGAAGCCCATTTCCATGGTTGCATCCCACCAAATTCAGATGATCCCCAAACTGCTTATAAATCCATACCCATGGTTTCTTTGATATCTAAGAATATCAGCTTGGCTTTCTCACTACCAAAGCAACTAAATCATCCACATAATCTCACATTCCATGTGATTCTAATTTAGACCTAAGTAAAAGAATCAATTTTTCCATGTTACATCTTTGAGGTCTCTTAGATGTTGACATAATTGTGAATGCAAATAAGTAAGTGTCAAGGGTACACTGTAGTCAAAGTGATTTATAAATGGCAAAGAATTTCATATGTTCAATTTATTTACCAGATTCTGTTACCCTCAAGGGGAGGATTTATATCATTCATTTGTATGTCCCTGCCTTGTCAGTGTTTGGCCTGGTACTTGACTCATTCCATACACTTATAAAATGTTGGGGAATGAATGGACCAATTTCAGATTCAGTTTTTACAAAGTATTAGATTTTCAGCACAAATTATAGTGATTCTATCACCATCCTGCTGATATTTCTAAACTTCAGTGAATCTCAGGTTCCTTCAGCACAAAGATGGTGATGTAATTAAGGGAGTAACTCATTATTTAACAAATATTTCTATCAAAAATTAAAAAGAAGCAACTACAAACTTCCTGTCCAAAATTATGATGCACTTAACTGCCTTCCTGATGCTCACTGAAATCGAAGTATAAGTGTACAAAAGGAATAAATCTCTTCAGTCTAATGAGGGCCATAGAAGATAGTTTGCTCACAAATGCACAAGAGAATTCAACAGTTTCTGGAAGGTGGAAAGCATCTGACTGTGCTGTATAATAATTGCATTGTGCATCAGATACAGAAAGTGTGACATGTGACCTGAAATCATCAAAGTGATTAATGTGGCTGGCAACAGGAAGATTAATGGAAAGTTTCTATGCATATCTGCGTGCAAATTGGTACCTTTGTGTTTCTTATATACCTCTGTACTTACCCTTCCAGAATTCAGGTATTTATCCACAAGCATTTTGTTGTTGAATCACCCTTTGGTGAAAGCCAGGGTCTTTGGAGGTCTTGGTAGCCCAGCCCTTTACCCTCTGGCTCTCTGAAAATCAATGTTGATAGCCATCTTCTCACCATCCATGCCAACACAGCTCCTTCACCCCATACAATCCAGGGACCTAATTGGAAGATTAACCTACT